GAGAGTTCCCCCATTGAGAGTGGAAGCAAGAGCACATGAGCCCCAAAGGGCACAATTATGCTTGTAACCTTAAAGATTTGTAGAAGGTTTGTGAGGAAGGACTTCCTTTTGCCTGAGAGCTCTGCCAATCCTTCCTCATCAAACTTTGCTTCTCCTTACGTTTCACAATGTTGTTTTTAGTAGTTTCCCCCACCACTTTACTTGGGGAAGATGTTAAGGCTGCCTCCATCTCCCCTCTGCCTCCTTTTACGGGATTCCTATTGCTCTGCCTCCCCTCCAGTCCTCCAATGTAGAGCCCAATTTAGGGACAAAGTTCAGAGACCAGCAGGATTCATGCTGAATGTTTTTATTCTGCTATTTGTAAGCTTGTTTTATGATTGCTGTGTTTTAAAGCTTTAGTTATTTTCATAGATTCTTCCTATGATTTTCTTGTTTTTAATTATTTTTCTACTATTTAATAATAATACTAGAATTTAAGGATGCTACATTATGAAGTGTTACTTTTGTACGGAGATTTATTTCTGGTGGAAGAGTGTTGCCCTTATACTTTATATATTTTTGCTTCCTCAGATGCTCTGCTATTCAGTGAACAGATTCAGAAAGGTAAATTTCCAGGAGAGGAACAATTTCACAGGAGGGATGGGGACTGATATTTCATGGGTGTTGAACCGTCTGTTCTGCAGACTTTGGGACACCCTTCAATGGCGTCACTCTGGGGACAACAGTCCCGTCTAGGAGGTGTTTGGGTTCCTTGTCTGTCCCATGAAGTGAACTGGGAGAGGGTTTGAAGGCATCTTGGACTGGGGGCAGAGCTTGGCCCTGGCGAAAGTAATCCTGGCCAGCACCAGTCTGAGTTCCATTTCTGGCCTACTAGACCAGTGGTGGCCAAACTACCTTTTAGGGACCGATGTCGCCCCAAACCCAATAACCCACTTTATTTTATCGCTAAAACCAATCTACAGTTTAAAACAGCTTGTTGATCTTAAAAGAAATTCACAATAACAGAGCTTCAGAAAAGAAACAACTTTTTATTGAAAGGTAAAAGTTTGTATTTGGCAAGCTTTTGAACAATTAATGTGATTTTTGCTGTTGTATGCATGTTGATAATTTATCTAACCTTGGCTCATACTTTGTAAGTTTGAGAGCAACACATGCAGCACTCAAGTCATCTGGCAGTCTGTTTCTGGTGTCAGATTTTATGTAATTCAAAGCTGAAAACAGCTGCTCACAAGCATAAGATGATCCAACCAAAGTAAGGAAAGCAATCCCAAGTACTTTCATTGTTTTAAAATTATTTGGCAGAGAATTCCACACTTTAAGGATTTCATTTTCAGAACTAACTGTGCTGTCTTTTGTCATGCTTTCTATATTCTCAAGTGTTTCATGCAGGTCACAGAATTTATTTTTCCAGACAGACTATTATCCTGGTTTCCCCCTCAATTTTATAGATTTTGCTTTATTTCATAAAATTTATATACTGTTTGATTGTGGGGAAAAGCACAGAGCATTAGACTCAGATCTAAGGCACCTGGCTAAACTAATCTGCAGCAGAGAATCCCAACAGAGCAGCATCTGCAGCTAGCGACATACTGCAAGAAAACCCTTCTCTTGTGGCTGAACTAAAAGGACGCTGGCTCAGCTACAAGATCTTGACAAAGGAGTCCGGGAGGGCAAGAGTTAACATCCCCCTGCCCTTAAGGAGAGTCCATATGTGCATATTTAACAGTTTAATAAATTGTTCTGTGCACAAAGATGTGAACATGAGCCCAAATACTGTCATGTGGCAAGCAAGGGAGCAATATGTATTATTGTTATTTTGTTGTTGAAAATTAAGAAGATTGCTACTAGCAATACATCACAGCTTTGAAAGCCTACATAGAGTATTTCAAATGAGAGTTGTCAGTGATCCATGGTTAAAAGGAGAAGTTGGCAAATGTGTCCTCTTTTGTGCTCTTCAAAATAACCCTACACTTGCCTATCACAACTGTCTTAGCCCCTAACTTTTGCGTTATTCCCCCTTCCCTCAGGGAACACGTCTTATGGTTTATATTAAATCCAAAAGAGAAGCATGGAATAAGCAGTCCTTTGTAAAATTGCCCTGCCATCTGCCTCTTCTTCCTTGGTGGCAAGGCCTAAACTTACAAGATGGTAGAGAGGAAGGCAAGGAGAGACCAAGTAGGTGAGAGAGATGGAGAGCAGGAATAAACAGGCTCCCCACTTAATGCGATTTTCATTTGTGGGCACAAGGGCCCAGAACGTGACCCCCGTGAAAGTGAGGGGAGTCTTATATGTGGTTTAATGTATTTTTATGCTGTGAACCACCCTAAGACCTATGGATGAAGGGCAGTATGCAATTATTATTATTATTATTATTATTATTATTATTATTATTATTATTATTATTACAGGGGGGTCCTCCTCCCCCACCCCAACCAGAGGTCCCCAAAGGGCAATTCCCACAGAGATGGCCAGAGGAAAGCAGCTTCTCTCCTCTCCTGCCTCCTCCAATTCTCCTCTCTTTCCCCTTAGATAACACACAAGAGATGAGTAAAAGGGTTCCTGGGTGGTTTTCCCCTTAGAAAATGCCTGGGATGAGAGGAGGGCAGGCACAATACACATCAGATATAAGAAAGTGAAGGAAACTGGTTTAAAAACCATCAAGGAAGATACTTATTCTGAGGAGAGTCTGCAAGGAGGAGTCTCAGTCTAGCATGTGATGCAAAGAAATCCCCTTGATCTGAAAGGGAATCTGGGGTTTCTGGGTGTTATTTATTTATTTATCAAGGTGTCCATTTCTGTCTCTCAGCTGACTCTGCCTGATCTTCTCTTTCCCTCATCTTCTCCCCAACAGCAAATGTCACTCTGGATCCAGACACAGCCCATCCCATACTCATCCTGTCACAGGATGGGAAAAGTGTGAGAAGGGGAGACAAACCTCAAGCCCTGCCCAACAATCCTGAGAGATTCAGTCACATGCCTTGTGTGTTGGGACGTGAGGGATTCACAGCAGGCAGACATTTCTGGGAAGTCACTGTGGAAAGTGGGGAAGATTGGACTCTGGGGGTCGCCAGGAAGTCTGTGGAGAGAAAGGGCTATTTCATCTTCAGTCCTGAGGGAGGAATCTGGGCTGTGGGGAAGTGGGGAGAGAAGTGCTTGGCCTGCACCTCCCCTGATGACACTCCTCTGTCCCTGTTTTGGGAGCCCAGGAGGATCCGGGTGACTCTGGACTATGAAGGGGGACGTGTGTCTTTTTCTGGCGCTGACTCAGGAGCCGAACTCTACACGTTCTCAGGAGCCTCGTTCTCTGGAGAGACCCTCCTCCCTTTCTTTTATCTGGGGGAAAACAAAACCCAGCTCAGTATCTCCTGAGGAGACTAAATCTGCCTCTCAGGCCCAGCAGGAGTTTCTCTCCAGACCAGAGTGACTGACATAAAAACCATTTACCCGCCAAGAGCAGGTTGGGCAGTTTTCCAAAGGGCCCTTTGAGAGGATTCATTCCAGTCAAAATCAGCAGAAATAACAAAACAAAAATGAGTTGTTCTTGCTTTGCGTTTTCTTTACATTTCCCAGAATTCCCTCTGAAGCTCACTTCTTAGAGAGACAGTCACACTTTTAGAAGTCCTAATAAATTTTCTCACCTTCAATCTTCTTTTCCTTTTCAAATGTCTGATTTGGCAGAGGACGATACTCTTGATCCCAGGATTGTGGGTCTGAGCCCCACGTTGGGCAAATGTTTCCTGCACTGCAGGGGGTGGGAATAGATGACCCTCAGGATCCCTCACAACTCCGTAATTCTAGGAATCCTTCCTCTCCCCACAAGACTTCATGCAGCTGTTAAAATGCATGCATCATTGGATTGATAGAGGACTAAAAATGAACCCCTTGACCCACGTCACGCAGGATAGCTGCTCGCTCTGGAGACCTCAGACGGGAAGAAAATGTAAAAGAAATTGAACAAGGCGTCAGCTTCAAATATTGTCTGCAAATACAGCCTCACCTTCTTTACACTTTGTCAGAAATAAACCCCATTGCATTGAGTGGGGCGTCTGCCCTGTTATAAATGTGTTTAGGGTTGATGCATTGACGTTCCTTATTTACAAGCTGGATTCTGTACTGTATATCGGGGGCATCAAATGGGGTGTCCTCTGGATAGTGCTGGACTCTTAATCTAAGGGTCACCAGCTTGAGTGACATGTTGGGCAAAATATTCCTGCATTGGTGGCCATCTCTGCCTCCAGTGGCAGTGAGTTCCATAGTTCAATTATGCTTTTATCTGTCCTGGATCTCCCAACACTCAGCTTCTTGGAGGGCCACGGATTCTAGTGCTATGAGAATCTGCAATGTGGAGCGAATGTGCCCCTGCCTCCCTGCCTCCATCATGGGGACCAGAGCAGGGGGTGGGCAGTTTGTTTTCCCACCCGTGCAGCCTGCTCCGGGTGTCATCACTGAGAGGGGTGACAAAATGCCAGCTGCTCTCCCTGCCTGTCCATGTCCTGCCCTCGCTCGGGTGCTCTGTGTGTGTGTGTCTGTGTGGCCCTGCTCAAAGCTGTGCTGCTCACGGGGCAAGGCAGCCTCCACTGGGCTTCTCCGTCTTTCCCCTGCTGTTGCTTTAAAGCCTTTCCCTCAAACTCATTATGTGCTAAGGCGGCTTTCCCCCATGTGTTTTCTTCTTTGCCGTTCTCACTGTTTTTTCAGGGTGGTGGTGGTCCTTTTCGTTTCCTGCCTTCCCCCCTCCACCACGTCCCCCTCACGCCGCCACCAGAGCTCTAACTCCCAGAAGGCCAGTCGGCTTCAGAAGAAGGACAAGCCTGCCATCAATATCAGCCCCAGGATCTCCAAATCGATCACGACATCTTGGCCATGCCTGCCCTAGAAATATAGTATTGTAGAGGATCATCTAGTCCAGGGGTCTTTTTCAAAGAGGGCCAGACTTGATGAAGTGAAGGGTCGTGAGGGCCGCCCAAAGGGCTGAAAAGTTGTTGACCTTTTTTTAGGATTGAAGTTGTGGAGGGTTTTTTTTTGGGGGGGGGGATTTTAATAAACTGCCACAGGGGCTGGCAGGCCAGATTAGGCCCCTGAAACAGACTTTGGACATGCGTGATCTAGTCCAACCCTCTACATTGCAGGAGTATGGAGCAGTCCCATCCTTTTTTACATTTGCTCTCAGCCCTCCTGCTATGTAAACTTACATATCTTCCTCCCCCCCCCCAAACACACACACACACACACACACACACACACACACACACACACACACACAGAGTTGCCTCAGATGCTAGTCCTACTCAGAGCGGACTCACTGAAATGAATTAAAAATCCCAACATTAATTTCAAAGGGTCTGCCCTAAGTAGGTTTTAGCTGGGTGTGGCCTGTTGTTATGACCGAAGTATCTTACCCAAAAAGATCTGCACATACCAGTTTATCTGAGTGCATTATTCTCAGGGTGGGAGTGGACACTCATTTATTTAGAATTGCTTAATCATATGGGACTAAATTGCATTATGTTGTAAGGACATTTCATAAAATCTTAGAACTGTAAAATTGGAAGGGACCCCAAGGGTCATCTAGTCCAACCCGCTGCAATGCAGGGATCTCAACTAAAGCATCCATGACAGATGGCCATCCAACCTCTGATTACAAACTTCCAAGGAAGGAGAGTGCAAAACCTCCCAAGGGAGCCTGTTGCACTGTTGAAGGGCTCCTGCTGTCAGAAAGGTTCTTCCTCATGTTTCGTCAGAATCTCCTTTTATGTAACTTAAAGCCATTGTTTTGTGTCCTACCCAGTGTAAGAGCCAGTGTGGTGTAGTGGTTAAGAGCGGTAGTCTCGTAATCTGGGGAACCGGGTTCACGTCTCCGCTCCTCCACATGCAGCTGCTGGGTGACCTTGGGCCAGTCAAACTTCTTTGAAGTCTCTCAGCCCCACTCACCTCACAGAGTGTTTGTTGTGGGGGAGGAAGGGAAAGGAGAATGTTAGCCGCTTTGAGACTCCTGAAGGAGTGAAAGGCGGGATATCAAATCCAAACTCCTCCTCTTCTTCTATCCTCCAGAGCGGGAATAAAGCTTGTTCCATCTTCCATGTGACAGCGCTTCAAGTATTTGAAGATGGCTGTCATATCTCCCATCAGTCTCCTCTGTTCCTGGCTAAACATACCCAGCTCCTTCAAACACTCCTCATAAGGCTGGGTGTCCAGACCCGTGATCATCTTGGTTGCCCTCCTCTGCACACGTTCCAGCTTGTCAACGTCCTTCATAAATTGTGGTGTCCAGAATTGGACACAGTATTCCAAATGTGGTCTGACTAAGGCAGAATAGAGTGGGACTATGACTTCCCTTGATCTGGACACTATCCTCCTGTTGATGCAGCCTAGAATAGGGTTAGTTTTTTTGCTGCTGCATCACACTGTTGACTCATGTTCAGCTTGTGTTCCACCAAGACCCCTAGATCCTTTTCACATGTACTACTGGTAAGCCAGGTGTCTCCCATCCTATATGCCTCTTGCTTGTTGGATGGAAGACACGAGAGGGACATGTGCAGAAAGCAGCCCATTCTGATTTAATTTGGATAGAGATGTTACCTAGCTAAAATTTCAGAATCCAAAGCAGGCTCAGCAGTTGTGTTGTCCAATATACTGCTAAATAAATAGGAGCAAACCCGTCTCCTTTGCTCTTCTCCCAACGTAAACTAGGCCTGAAATCCTTTACTCACTCATGTAGGAGTAAACCCTATTGAATTGGGGCTTACTGCTAAGAAAATGTAGTATGAACACCGACAACTGGGAAACCCTGGCCTGCGAGCGCTCCAATTGAAGAACAGCCTTTACCAAAGGTGTCATGGGCTTTGAAGACACTCAAACTCAGGACGAAAGGGAGAAACGTGCTAAGAGGAAGGCACATTTGGCAAACCCTCACCACGATCAACCCCTACCCAGGGACCTTTGTCCCCACTGTGGAAGGATGTGTGGATCCAGAATTGGTCTCCATTCACTTATGGACTCACTGCTAAAACCCTGTTTTGGAAGACAATGTTACTTGGCTATGAGGGATCACCAAAGAAGACGACTTCTGAGTAGACATATACAGGATTGGGGTGTAAACTATTGTGCAACCCCTAATCCCACCCTTTATGAGGAAATGAGGCGTGCTTAACAATGCTTAATATTTATGTAACACATTTTAAAGGATTTTTGGTATGCTCTACAAAGCTCATATTACACCAACGCCTTTATTAGAGAAAATAAAATGTCAGAAAGCAGCTTCCCAGCTTTCAAGGCCTACAGAACACTTCATCAGGTTAGATGATGAACAAAAAAAAATTTTGGGGGGGGGGTGAGGAAATTTCCTAAAAAACATTCTCTTTTTTGCGGGGAGATCTTGCTCAACATCTGTGTCTGGATTTTTTTGCTATTTGGAATATGGCAACCCTACTATGTCTGCAGTGTGCGAATCCCCCGCGAGCTCTCCTTTCATCCGGAGCATGTAGAGTTTCTCCCCCGTGTGGAGTCTCTGATGAGCAATGAGGCTCTGGCTCCGGTTGAAGGTGCTCCCGCAGTCCAAGCACTTGTACGGCTTCTCTCCCGTGTGGATTCTCCGATGTGTGATGAGGTTCTGGCTCCGGTTGAAGCTGCTCCTGTAGTCGGAGCACTTGTACGGCTTCTCCCCGGTGTGGATGCTCCAGTGCCCGGTGTGGATGCTCCAGTGCCTGGTGAGGCTCCAGCGGAAGGTCTTCTTTTGCAGGCACCACAGGAGGTCCCGGTGGGTATATCAGCACCCTCAGGCTGCCACATCAGCAACCCCGACTTAAATGAACATTTCTGGCACTCATTTTCCACGGTGTCCTTGTACCTATCTAAACAAGGGGTGGATCTCAAACCCATCTTTCCCCCTCCGCTGTGAGCACGCCTATATCATTGGGCTGTCATACATACGGAATTTCCCAGGATTTGTCTCTTGAAAATAGCGTCCTGGCAGAATTTTCAAAAATCGGTTAAAATGTCCAGAAAAATCAGGACATATGGCGGCTCGAATCAGCAGTGTTGTGGGTTTTTTTTGGCAAATTTCCTAAAAAAGTAGCTTTAAAACATTCTCTTTTTTTGCGAGGAGATCTTGCGCAACAACATCTGTGTCTGGTAGAGTTGAGCCAAACATCCCCCACTTAGGTTCTGCTGTCCCAGAGAACACCATTTAAAGATGGACGCCCACTCCCACTCCCGATTTTGCTGACAGACAGTGTAGTGTAGTGGTTAGAGTGTGGGACCAGGACCCGGGAGGCCAGGGTTCAAATAAATCCCCTCTTGGGCATGAAGCTCACTGGTGACCTTGAGCCAGTCACGGGCTCTGCCTAGCCCACCTCACAGGGTGGTTGTTCTGGGGTTATAAGAGGAAGGGGAGAACCTGGAGCTCCTTGGCGTAAAGGTGGGATATAAAGCACTCCATTGTGGGCCCAATTTTATGGAACTCCCTTCCAGGTTGCAGTCAGACAGGCCCTTATCCCTGTTGAGCCTACTGAAGACATCATCATCCTAGCAGGCTTATTTTATATTTTCCACTCTTTTTCATTGTATGGAATACTTTGTGCACTGCTTAGAGACAGTGGCAATCAAGCTGTATAGAAATGGCTGAGACAAATTAAACGGGGCTGGGAAGTTGCTCAGTGATGCAGCACATGCACTCTGCACATGCTCAAGTGTGCTCTGATCCTTAGCTCATCATTACGTTCACCCTGCTCAAGGGAACATCCCAGGCCTGCTGCTAAGCGAGATGTTCAATTACCTTCAGCCATTTCCAGTCCCTCAGGAGGAAGCAAGGAACGGGGGTGAATTGGGAGTGGTGTTCCGTTGGCTGTGAGGGACAATGAAGATCCCGCTCTCCCTGTGTCAAAAGCATGGGAAGCAATCAAGGAGCATTCACTGCTACTTGAGAAAACTTTCAGGATCTGCAGAGATCTTTTGAAAAAGATCACGTGCTCACTGAGTTTCGCAGTCATTTCCGGGAAGTGAAACTCCCAGTGGCTGAAAACGAAACTCGGGTCTTTGGTGCGAGGGAGCCATGGCTGCTGCAGGGGGTCCCATCCAGAATCTTTGTGACGAAGCCACGTGCTCCATCTGCCTGGATTACTTCAAGGATCCAGTCACCATTGCAGAGTGTGGGCACAACTTCTGCCGATCCTGCCTGATCCTGTTCTGGGGGGAATCGGAGGCAGAGGCTTCCTGCCCTCAATGCAGAAAAACAGTCCAGAGAAGGAGCCTCATCCGCAACAGGCAACTGGCAAACTTCGTAGAATTAATCGAGAATCTCAGCCTTCAAGAGGGAAAGGAGGAAGGAGGGAAAGGAGGAGTCTGCGAGAAGCACCAGGAGCCCCTGAAGCTCTTCTGCACGGAGGATGAAGCCCCCATCTGCCTGGTGTGTGACAGATCCAAGGAGCACAAACACCACGAGGTGATTCCTCTGGAGGAGGCTTTCGAGGAATACAAGGTAGGAGATCCCTGGATCTGGAGGGGGAGAAATAGCTGTGGATTCTTCTTGGGAGGTTATCTTTTTAATTCTCAGGTCCAAAGTAGGCATGGCATGAATTGGTGGTTGTTTATTATGTAAAAAGCAGCCCAGGGGAAGCCTGAGGTTGGGGAGGAGGGAGTTGAAGTCTTTCTCTCTGCCAGGGGGACAAAGGGATCTTCCCTTGAAATACTCACAACAGCTTCAAAGATTTGAACTGGGACCGTGGGAGGAAGAGAAAGGGTTAACCTCATCCACATCCCCCAGCAAGGTTGCAAGGGATCAGCTGGGTGGGAGAGGGGAGGAGTGGTGGCCAGGAATTGACCAGATGGTGCAGGATCCTCCCCCAAGTATCTGTTGGAAGCAGATTTGGGAGTGGGGGGTGGTGGAAGCGCCTACTGGTGGGGAGCATGCTTATTCTGGGGGTGCTGTGGAGCCTGTGCAATGAGATTTCAGTGGTGGGGTGTGTGTGCGTGTGCTGAGGATCTCCTCCCATCCCAAATGGCAAAGGACTCAGTGATAACAATAATTATAATAATAATAATTTATTATTTATACCCCGCCCATCTGGCAGGCCCTCCCCAGCCACTCTGGGCGGCTTCCAAAAAAATATTAAAATACCATAATACATCAAACATTAAAAGCTTCCCTAAACAGGGCTGCCTTCAGATGTCTTCTAAAAGTCTGGTAGTAGTTGTTCTCTTTGACATCTGGTGGGAGGGCGTTCCACAGGGCGGGCGCCAGTGGTTCAGAGTGGCATTTGCAAAGACCAGGGAGAAAGATGACTTTTCCATGACAACTCAGAATTGGACCTGTGCTATTATACATAAAAAATAAAACCCTCATTCTGGATATGGCCTTAGCCCTTCCTCCTCCTCCTCTTCCGACTTCTCCCTGGGACCTCAAGATGAGAGGCCAGGCTGGGACTATCCGCAGAGAAGTTCAAAGGAGCAAACATGGCTGCCTTTGCTCTTCTCCAGACTAGTTTGTTGCGCTAGAAAACTTTCCCATCCCAGTTCTGCAGTGTTTTTCAACCCGTGTGCTGTGGCACCTGGGGTGCCTTGAATGATGCTCAGGGAGGCAGCACTGACCTCTGTCCCTCCAGCTGTTTGCTCCAGCAGCCCTGGCTACAAGCTCCGCTGGGGAATGGTGCCTCTGGGGCTGGCCAGGGGGTGTTGGCTGCCAGGAGAGGATGACTCCTAAGGAGAGGGGAGATGAGGTTGAGAGAGCCCTCCGCAAGGGAGGGTGTTCGAGAAAGGGTGAGGGGCTGCAAGCAAGGGGGGACCTAAGTGGGATCCTGAGCCCCACAGGGACACCGCAGAAAGAAGGAAGTTGGTCCAGGGAGCCTTAGACCCAAAAAGGTTGTACTTTTATTTCCTCTAGTAAAGTACAGTGGTACTTTACCTCAGGATGAGAACAGAAATCGCGTGGCGGCAGCAGCGGGAGGCCCCATTAGCTAAAGTGGTGTTTCAGGTTAAGAACGGACCTCCAGAACAAATTAAGTTCTTAACCCGAGATACCACTGCACTTTGCTATTATAGCAAGGCCACTGGACCCAAGAAGCCTGTATAATATTCATCTCCTCTCTCTGTGTCTCAATTAAACCAAAGTTTCCCTTTTTCTTTTCAGGGAGAGATCTGTCACCGCTTGGAGATTCTGAGGAAAGAGAGAGAGGAAATTCTGGCCTATCAAGCAGCCCTGGAGAAGGAAAGCAAAGACCTCCTGGTAAGTGTCTCTCTTATTACTAGGGAGGGAACAAGCACTTGAAGAATTGAGTCAGGTCTGTTGAAGGATGGGGAAATCTGCCCATTTCAACTTCCCCCCATTCTCCTTTTCCATATCAGTTTGTTTGTTTATTTATTATTATTATGAAGGTGGCTACCTTCTTGTACAAATATTTTGATATGTACTTTACCCTCATAAATACATTTTTTGTGAACATTACCTGGCTGGGTCAACCTTGAAAGATTCAGAGGTGTAAATTTCAAAAGATTGTTCTGTTTCAGTCTCCATATTTCAGTCTCCATCACGTTTCAATGCAGCTAAATTGAGTTTATTTCCCCTTGTCATTTATTATATGAATAGCAGTGAAGGAGAAGCCTGAGGACTTGTGAGCTGAGAGGGTGGAAGTGGTTCAATTCAAATCCTGATTTACCATAAATATTACTAAAGAGTTGTCTTTCTGAATGTGTTTTTGTTCATTTTTAGGAAACTCAGGTTATTTTGAACCTTTAAAGAAAATAGGGGAGCTATGGGGATGAACTCCTCTTTTCTTGCAGAAATTAACAGAAACGGAGAGGCTGAAGACTGTGGAGAAGTTCAGAGAACTGCGCCGGTTCCTGGAAGAACAAGAGAAACGTCTGCTGACTCATGTGGAAGAGGTGGAGAAGGAGATTGCAGGGAGAAGGGATGAGCAGCTGGCCAGACTCTCCAGGAAACTCTCCTCTCTTGAGAGGATCATCCAGGAGATGGAGGAGAAGAGTCAGCAGCCAGCGAGTGAACTCCTGCAGGTAAGATGGTGGCAGGAACAGTCCAGAGCTCTGCTCCAGGAAAAGACTACCCCTTTCATGTATGCAAGGAGTGCAGGGGCTGAGTTGATGGAGCCTCTAGTCAGGTTTGTAATGGACAGGAAGACCCAAGAGACCTGGGAAGCTGAACTCACCTGAATGCAGACTAGAGATTCGTCTGTGTTCTTGATGGAACGGGAGCTGATCTTCTGCTCTTTGGCGATGCTTTGTCTCCGAACGCCTTTCAGCTGTGGGGGGCTTCGTCTGGGATGCGTTCAGGCCTCCTTCCGACATGAGCCAGTCTCTTGGCCAAGCTTCTCTTCCCATTCCCTCCACAACTTCTGGGTTGATCCCCTTCCCCATGGATACAGATGGGCCCAAAATGGTGCTCAGTCACAGTGACCAAAGAGCAAGACAGAGGGACTCATCCAGACTGCTGCTTGTCCCACCCCTTTGCTCCAGGAAAACCCTCTTTTTACTGCTGAATTAGAGCAAACCTCAGCCAGGTTTTCTCCAGACTGACGTTTGCTTTGATGTTGCACCAAGGAGCAGTTTTTTCCTGAGCGAAAGCGGCAGGGCAAAGGAAAACCACTTGGACCCGTGTTTTCTGGGCACAGGAAAAGCAGAAGTGTGGATGAGCCCAAAGAAACACTGACCTATTTTATTACCCCTTTGGAGTCATTTTATGCTGCAGGTGCTTTTTTAATTTCCAGGTGGAAAATAGCATTTGAAATTTGGGGACTGGGACAGTGCCCTGGTAGGATTATCCTGTAGGCTTACTTACGTCTGAATTGCACAATGCAAACTGGATTAAAGTTAATAAATTATAATCTAAAACAAGACATGGAGTGGAATCTTCCACTGAATCCATAAATGTGTGATTCCCTTAACTGCTGCTGGATGTTCATAAGGATTAAAAAGAATAATTGCAAACTGATGTGGAAATGTGAAGAACTTGATACTGGGAAAAAATCATAATTTCAGATTGGAAAAACAAAAGCTGTAAGAAATGAAAACTGGCTGATTCCGCCATCCCTACCGAAAACCTTGCCATGTGCCAGGCAGACTGACATCTGAGGGCCAGGGTCTGAGGGGGTCTTCCTAGTGTGGTCTGTGGTGTGCAGTGAATTCCCTTCTCTTTTTCCCTCTAGGATGTGAGAAGGACCTTGCAGAGGTAAGTGGATCTGGCTCATTTCCATTAGCATCACTCTTTGAAGCTGAGATGCAAGAACCTCAGACATGGCCCTCCAGGGGCTGCAGGGGGGGACTGTGGGACTCACTCCCTGCAGCACCTCACAGGTAAAAGTAGAGCCCCCTCTTCTGAACTTGTAGCCCCCCCAATTCTCCCTCCAAGGATCAAGGTCAACTGCCTCCTCCCTCCCTCCCCACATCCCTTCACAAAGGGATAGGGGCTCTTTTCTTTCTCTTGCACTTTCTGTTCATGGACTTTGTGGTAATTTCAAACATCTAGAAGAGAAAGTGCCAAAGATGCTTGGGAAGAGCTTAGGATATACAAATAGATTTCAATGTCCAACTAGAAGCCCCTCAACTCTGGTAACTCAGCCCCTTTGAGGCACTGAGGGAGGGAAGGTCTGTTGGTCTAGAATGGGTGGGTTATTTTTCTTGGGAGCGTTTCCAGCATGAGAGGATGAAGCTGGTCTTGAGTGGGGGGTGAAAGTCTAGTTGTTTGATGCCTCTGGAGGGAGAATCCCATGGGGCATGGAGTTGTGCCCTTCCTGGGTGGGAGAGGGGGTGAAGGGAGGGTGGAGGTTGTTCTCCTTGACCACTTGGCAGCTTGAGACATCACTCACATCCTCTGGGGAGGCTCAGAGAGGGAGGGGTTGCAGGCATTCCACCTCTCCTGGGACCTTCCCAGAAAGTTGTTAGGGGGCAGCACTGTTTGAAGCCATGGGAGCCCTCCGGTGGTGTCGCTTGGGGTTACATCCTGTCCCTTGTGAAGTTTAGCATCCTTATGAAGCCACCGACCAGGGCTTGGAGGTGGGTGTCAAGAGATGAAGCTGAACCCTGAAAATTACCTGTTGGGAAATGAACTTCAACTTTGTTCAGGTTATTGAGATCTCCTGCAATAATTAGGGAGAAGGGGCCACAATGGGGCCATTCATTGTTTTTCTTTTCACCAGGTATGAGGAAAGAGAGAGTCCAGAGAAGCCACTGGCTTTCCCTCCAGAACTGAGGAGCAGGATCTTGGAATCCGGTGAACTAATTCACCTTGTGAAGAATACAATGAAACAATGGAAAGGTAATGAATAATGGCTCCCAGGATTTCACACTCAGAATTCTATTATTTCTTCAGAACTGAACATGCCAGGCTCTTATTGCATGGAATTGAGTAACCCCAGGATACCTTCCTTCTTGGTGCTCCATCCTTCATTTCCTGTCCCCCAGAATGGCCCATGTATATTGTGACGCTGGGAAAGAAAGCCTGAACCAGAGTGCAGAGCAAAGTCAGGATTTTTTCCTCCCATGTGCATCTGTTTACAGTTATACTAAACCTGCTTTTCCTTGTGGTTCCCTGTCTGCACAATCTGGGGTTGTCCTTTTGGAGGTTCTCCTGCTCTGAATGGAGTCAAAGGGCATTAAGAAGCCCCCAGTTCCCCCTCTGCCTCCTGCTCAGGCTTCTTTCTCAGCCCTGGAGCCAAGGCCTGAGCCGTCTCCTCCTCAGACGTCCCCCTGCAGCTGCCATATCTAGGGCTTCGGCCTTCAAGATCTCCTGAGAGTTCCCCCATTGAGAGTGGAAGCAAGAGCACATGAGCCCCAAAGGGAACAATTATGCTTGTGAAGAACCTTAAAGATTTGTAGAAGGTTTGTGAGGAAGGGTTTCCTTTTGCCTGAGAGCTGTGCCAATCCTTCCTCATCAAACTTCACTTCTCCTTATGTCTCACAATTTTGGCTTTAATGATTCCCCCCACCACTTTACTTGGGAAGATGTTACGGCTGCCTCCATCTCCCCTCTGCCTCCTTTTACGGGATTCCTATTGCTCTGTCTCCATTCCAGTCCTCCAATGTAGAGCCCAATTTCAGGCACAAAATTCAGAGACCATTAGGATTTATGCTGAATATTCTTATTCTGCTATTTAAAGTTTTAGTTATTTTCATAGATTCTTCCTATGATTTTCTAGTTTTAAATTTTTTTGTACTATTTAATTAATATTTAATAATTGTACTTCAATTTAAGGATGCCACATTATGAAGTGTTACTTTTGTATAGAGATTTATTTCTGGTGGAAGAGTGTTGCCCTTACACTTTATATCTTTCTGCTTCCTCAGATGCTCTGCTATTCAGTGAACAAATTCAGAAAGGTAAATTTCCAGGAGAGGAACAATTTGACAGGAGGGATGGGGACTGATATTTCATGGGTGTTGAACCGTCTGCTCTGCAGACTTTGGGACCCCCATCAATGGCGTCACTCTGGGTAACAGTCCTCTAGTGGCGTTTGGGTTCTTTCCATGTCCCATGAATGAACTGGGAGAGGGTTTGAAGGCTTGGATTGGGGGCAAAGCTTGTCCCTGCGAAGAACCTGCACACCAGTCTGAGTTCCTTTCCTGCCTATAGACCAGTGGTGGCAAACCTTTTAGGGACCGAGTGCCCAAACTGCAACTGAAAACCCACTTACAGTGGTACCCCGCGAGACGAAAAACTCGCAAAACGAAAGGTTTTTTCGTTTTCGAGTTGCCTCGCAAGACGAATTTCCCTATGGGCTTGCTTCGCAAAACGAAGCTTGCCCCGGGGACAGCGGGTCTTCTCTTTTGAAGCAAGGGGCTGCGGGGAGATCGCTTCTCCCCACCGCCCCTTGCTTCAAAAGAGGTCCGGGGACAGCGGGAAGAGCTTCCCGCTGCCCCGACCTCTTTTGAAGCAAGGGGCTGCGGGGAGATCGCTTCTCCCGGTGCTCCGAAGCCGGGCGGGGGGCAGGGGACACCTCCCGCCGCCGCGGGGACACCTTTTGAAGGCAGGCGGGGGGGAGCAAAGACTTTCGCCTCCCGCCCGCCTTCAGAAGAGGTCCAGGACCTCTTCTGAAGGCTGGCGGGGGGCAAAAAGTCTTTGTCCACCCTGCCTACCTTCCCAGGGGCTTTTAAATCGCCCCGGACAGCGGAGAAGTCCTCCGCTGTCCGGGGCGATTTTAAAATGCCGCCCGCCAGCATTTTAAGATCGCCCGGACAGCGGAGAAGTCCTCCGCTGTCCCGGGGTTTTTTAAAATGCTGGGGGTGGGAAGAAAAGCCCTTGTCCCCCCCCCCCCAGCCTTCAGAAGAGGTCCGGGGACAGACTGTCCCCGGACCTGGTCTGAAGGCGGTTTCCCTAGGAACGCATTAATTGATTTTCAGTGCATTCCTATGGGAAACCGTGCATCGCAAGACGAAAAAACCGCAAGACGAAGAGACTTGTGGAACGAATTAATTTCGTCTTGCGAGGCACCACTGTATTTATTGCTAAGTGCCAACACAGCAATTTAACATGAATACTGAGGTTTTAGTTTAGAAAAAAAACCTCCTATATTAACACCTTTGGTCTTAAAATAAAACACAATAACAGCTTTCAGTGATACAAACAACTTTTTATTGAAAGGTAAAAGTTTGTATTTGGCAAGCTTTTGAACAATTAATGTGATTTTTGCTGTTGTATGCATGCTGTTAATTTGTCTAACCTTGGCTCATACTTTGTATGTTTGAGAGCAACACATGCAGCACTCAAGTGAAGGAGACTGATTTAAAAACCAACAAGAAAGATATTTATTCTCCAAGGAGTATCAGTCTTGCAAGCGATGCAAAGAAATCCCCTTGATATGAGAGGGAATCTGGGTTTTTGGGGTGTTTTTTATTTATTTATCAGAATGTCCGTTTCTGTCTCTCAGCTGACACTGCATATTCTTCTCTTTCCCTCTTTTCTCCCCCACAGCAAATGTCACTCTGGATCCTGACACAGCCCATCCTGAACTCATCCTGTCCGAGGATCGGAAAAGCCTGAGTAGGGGAGACAAACCTCAAGCCCTGCCTGATAATCCTGAGAGATTCAGTGACTGGCCTTGTGTGTTGGGATGTGAGGGATTCACAGCAGGCAGACATTTCTGGGAAGTCACTGTGGAAAGTGGGGAAGAGTGGGCTTTGGGGGTCGCCAGGAAGTCTGTGGAGAGAAAGGGCATCTTCCCCTTAAGGCCTGAGAGAGGGATTCGGGCTGTGGAGAAGTGGGGAGGGGAATACTGGGCCTGCACCTCCCCTCATTCCCCTCCTCTGTCCCTGAGGGAGAAGCCCAGGAGTATCCGAGTGACTCTGGACTATGAAGGGGGACGTGTGTCTTTTTCTGACGCTGACTCAGGAGCCGAACTCTACATGTTCTCAGGAGCCTCGTTCTCTGGAGAGACCCTCCTCCCTTTCTTTGATCTGGGGGAAATTATAAAACCCACCTCAGTATCTCCTGAGGAGACTAAATCTGCCTCTCGGGCCCAGCAGGAGTTTCTCTCCAGACCAGAGTGACTGACATAAAAACCATTTACCCGCCAAGAGCAGGTTGGGCAGTTTTCCAAGGGCCCTTTGAGAGGATTCATTCCAGTCAAAATCAGCAGAAATAACCAAACAAAAATGGGTTGCTCTTGCTTTGCATTTTCTTTCCTTTTCCCAGAAATCCCTCTGCAGCTTACTTCTTAGAGAGACAGCCACACTTTTAGGAGTCCTAATAAATTTTCTCACCTTCAATCTTGAGATGTCTGATTTGGCAGAGCATGTGGGTTGTGGGTTTGAACCCCACATTGGCCAAACGTTTCCTGCACTGCAGGGGGTGGGACCAGAGGACCCTCAACTCTGTAATTCTAGGAAACCTTCCTCTCCCCACAAGACCTTATGCAGCTGTGAAAATGCATACATTATTGGATTAATAAAGGACTAAAAATGAACTCCTTCACCCACGTCAAGCAGGATAGCTGCTCGCTCTGGAGACCTCAGACGGGAAGAAAATGTAAAAGAAATTGAACAGGGCGTCAGCTTCAAATATCCTCTGCAAATAGAGCCTCACCTTCTTTACACTTTGTCAGAAACAAACCCCATTGCATTGAGTGGGGCTTCTGCCCTGTTATAAATGTGTTTAGGGTTGATGCGTTGACGTTCCTTATTTACAAGCGGGATTCTGTACTGTATATCGGGGTGTCATCAAATGGGGTGTCCTCTGGATAGTGCTGGACTCTTAATCTAAGGGTCACCAGCTGGAGCACCATGTTGGGCAAAAGATTCCTGCATTGGTGGCCATCTCTGCCCCCAGTGGCAGTGAGTTCCATAGTTCAATTATCTGCTGCACAATGAAATGCTTTTATCTGTCCTGGGTAGGACAACATTCAGCTTTCTTGGAAGGCCACGAATTCTAGTGCTATGAGAATCTGCAATGTGGAGCGAATGTGCCCCTGCCTCCCTGCCTCCATCATGGGGACCAGAGCAGGGGGTGGGCAGTTTGTTTTCCCACCCGTGCAGCCCGCCCCTGGGTGTCATCACTGAGAGGGGTGACAAAATGCCAGCTGCTCTCCCTGCCCGTCCATGTCCCGCCCTCACTCGGGTGCTCTGTGTGTGTGTGTCTGTGTGGCCCTGCTCAAAGCTGTGCTGCTCACGGGGCAAGGCAGCCTCCACTGGGCTTCTCCATCTTTCCCCTGCTGTTGCTTTAAAGCCTTTCCCTCAAACTCATGACGCGCTAAGGGGGCTTTTCTCCATGTGTTTTCTTCTTTGCCTTCCTCACTGTTTTTTTTTGGGGGGGGGCTCCTTTTCGTTTCCTGCCTTCCCCCCTCACCACGTTTATTAACAAAACTAAGGATTTGTTTTAGGCAGTTTGCTAGGTAAAAGAAGAAACCTAGTCCATAGAAGCAGCATTGGCTAGTAGTCTCTTTCCTAGGAGTTTGAAGCACTGTTCTGTCAGAGGATACAGTTCAACTTTCAGGGATGATCCAATTTATTATTTTAACTAACATACAACAGTTTTATTTCCAGCATACGGCACACATATTTGGGGAGGGGTGTTTGTGTGAGTTTGGGCTCTGGCAAGTAGCGTTTGCTGGCAATGTGACATCTCGAAGTGGGCCTCCCCAACCGAAAATTTGAACCCGTGTCCACTATGCTGCACAAGCTTGGCAAGTCCTCCTTCATTGGCCTTGATCGCTCAACAGAAGGAGAGGTTTGCACAGAGCCCTTGACTTTTAGAGAGGGTTTGCTATAACACACACACACACAAATGCCACATCTAACAGCATCAGGAGGAAGAGACAGGATCCCCAAATGATGGAAGCAGGCCTCCATGTCAGCTGCCCGATAAACGGGGGGGGAAAGACACCTATATCAGTCACCATGGAGAGAAGCTCTTTGCACCTCTCTCCTATTCAGAATGGAAGGGAAGGCGGGCATCCATTCCTGGCATCCAATGGAACTTGGGCATATTGAAAGGGGGCGTGTTCACTGCAGGAGAGGCGGAGTCAGTACAAACAGGAACTGAATAGGAAGAGCAAAGAGTCTTTTGTGCACTGTGGATTTTTGAGGGGATATTTACAGAGAACTTTTGCAGGCACCACAGGAGGTCCCGGTGGGTATACCAGCACCCTCAGGCTGACACACCAGAAACCCCAACTTAAATGAACATTTCTGGCACTCATTTTCCACTGTGTCCTTGTACCTTTCTAAACAAGGGGTGGATCTCAAACCCATCTTTCTCCCTCCTCTGTGAGCACGCCTATATCATTGGGCTGCCATACATACGAAATTTCCCAGGATTTGTCTTTTGAAAATGGCGTCCGGACAGAATTTTTCAAAAATCGGTTAAAATGTCCAGAAAAATCTGGACACGTGGCAGCTCGAATCAGCAGTGTTGTTTTTTGGCAAATTTGCTAAAAAAAATAGCTTTAAATCATTCTCCTTTTTGCGGGGAGATCTTGCTCAACAACATCTGTGTCTGGATTTTCGCTTTTTGGAATATGGCAACCCTACTAAATCATGTCCGCAGTGTGTGATTCCACCCGTGTCTGAGGAGGCTGCATTTTCCCCGCGAGCTCTCCTTTCATCCGGAGCATGTAGAGTTTCTCCCCCGTGTGGAGTCTCTGATGAGCAATGAGGCTCTGGCTCCGGTTGAAGGTCTTCCCGCAGTCCGAGCAGATGTACAGCTTCTCTCCCGCGTGTGTCTTCTGGTGCGTGATCAGGCTCTGGCTCCGGTTGAAGGTGCTCCCGCAGTCCAAGCACTTGTACGGCTTCTCTCCCGTGTGGATTCTCCGATGAGTGATGAGGTTCTGGCTCCGGTTGAAGCTGCTCCCGCAGTCGGAGCACTTGTACGGCTTCTCCCCGGTGTGGATGCTCCAGTGCCTGGTGAGGTTCTGGCTCCAGCGGAAGGTCTTCCCGCACTTGGAGCATTTGTACTGCTTTTCGCTCATGTGGGTTCTCTGATGTGTGGTGAGGCTGCTCCTCCAGCTGAAGCTCCGTCCGCAATCTAAGCAGGTATACGGCTTCTCGCCCGTGTGGCTTCTCCAGTGTCTTTTGAGGCTTGACTTGAGACGGAAGGCTTTCCCGCAGGCGGAGCAGGTATAAGGCTCGTCTCCTAAGAACGCATCATGGGCTGTGGCATCACTCGAGCTTTCCTCACACACGGCGGGCACGTCCCTGCTCTCTCCTGTGGGGATTCTCGGTTGACCTCCAATACCACCTGCCTGACAAAGTACAGAGTTCTCTCTTCGCCTCTGTGTCGTTTTTTCTTTCCGCTTGTTTGATCCACGTTGATCTCCTGAGCTTTTCTTCAGCTTTCGAAGCTCAGCTTCGTCCAAATGTACCCCATTCATGTGTTCGTCACCTGCTGAAATAGAGAGATAATAAACAAGGTGGGGGAAAGTAGAAAGGAAGAGATGGATTATGGCGATATAATGAAGAAAAATGTGACAGGAAAGGTTTGGGCAAGAGAATAATACTGTCTTCTGTTGACGTAATACCTCATAAAAGAACATAAGGCCTCATACTCAGGGCTTGTCCATACTTTGGCTTATCCCATGCCGGCAAAGCATAGGTCTCAGCAGTTTCCCACTATTCCCATGCTTTCTAGCCACAACTCTGAGTGGTTTTGCACATGCCCCACTACTTTCCACCAAGAAAACCCTCTTTAGTAATAAGTCGGAGCAAACATGTGGAACGCCCTCCCACAAGATGTCAAAGAGAACAGTATTTAAGAACATCAGAGCTCACTGAATCAGGCCAGTAGCCACCTAGTTCAACATCCTGTTCCTACAGTGGCCAACAAGATGCCTCTGAGTATCCCACACAATCTTTGTGCAACAGCCACACTCTCCCCACTTGTGATCCTAAGCAACTGATATTCTGAGGCATGTTGCCTCCAGCAGTAGGACGCAGCTAGCTTGGCTAGTAGCCCTCTCCTCCATGAATTCGTCTAATCTTTTAAATCCATCCAAGTTGGTGGCTGTCACTGCCTCATGTTGGAAGCCAACGCCATAGTTTAATTATGTGCTGTGAGAATGATGTTTTTTGGTCTGTCCTGAATCTTCTAGCATTCAGCTTTCTTAGATGTCCCTGAGCTGTAGTGTTATGAGCGAGAGAGAAGAAAAAACCCTTTTTCTCTACCCACTTTCTCCTCACCATGTGTAATTTTATACAGTCAAACCTCGGATCCTGAATGCCTCTGTTTTGGAACATTTCAGCTCCTGCACATCAAAAACCTGGAAGTAAATGTTCCAGTTTTTGAACGTTTTTCAGAAGCTAAACGTCCAACGCAGCTTCTGTTTGAGTGCAGGAAGCTACTGCAACCAATCGGAAGCTGTGCCTTGGTTGTTGAACATTTTGGACGCCGAATGGGCTTCCGGAACATATTACGTTCGACAGCCGAGGTTTGACTGAACAACTACGGTGGTACCTCGGGTTAAGAACTTAATTCATTCCGGAGGTCTGTTCTTAACCTGAAGCCCCACTTTAGCTAATGGGGCCTGCAGCGCCACCGGTGCACGATTTCTGTTCTCATCCTGAAGCAAAGTTCTTAACCTGAATTACTATTTCTGGGTTAGTGGAGTCTGTAACCTGAAGCGTCTGTAACCTGAAGTGTCTGTAACCTGAGGTACCACTATATATCTTGTCTTCTCTTATTTGTCCTTTCTCTTAAAGTAAAAAGCCCCAAATCATAAAATCATAGAATTGCAGAGTTGAAGGGACCAACTAGAAATCATCTAGTCATTTGCCCAATGTGGGGCTCAAACCTTTTACCTTGAGATTAGCTAGTGTACCGACTGAGCTATCAAGTTGTTGCAATCTTTCCCCATGATCTTTGCTCCGTTGCCTTGACTCATTTTGGTTGCCCTTTTCTGAACTGCCGCCAACTCCACAATATCCCTTTTAGGGTGAGGCAACCAGAACTGGACAAAGGATTCCAAGTGCAGTCACTTTAGACATTCCCCCCGAGTAGGAACCCCCAAATTAAAGCCCTGCCAGGCTCTTTGTGGTAAGCAATGGATTGTAACGACAGGTCCTTACTTGGGGATCTGCAATCCCTTTCATCCTCCTGCTTGATCTCCCTGTGGGACTGGCTCTGTGAGGTTTCCAACAAAGCCTGTTCATCGTCAGGGAAGCTGACTGTGATCACGTGAAAGTGCTCCTGAAACAGCAAACAAGGAATAGTTAAATTTGTATAACTCTCAGCCATCGTGCATTCCTGGTCTGGGAAACGCCCAGTAAAAACGTGAAAGCATTTT